CATGAAGGGCGGGTTGGAGAGCACGAACAAGGCGGTAGTCAGCGCGCGCAAGGCGCGCAAGAAGCGCATCTGCTGCTTCTGGCTCACCATCATCATCTTGCTCATCGCCGGCGCCATTGTCGCCGCCGTTGTCTGCACGTCGGGCGACACATGCAAGAAGAGCGGCGGCGGCGGTAGCAAACCCCAACGCCGTGCCCTTGTCGATGTGCTGCTCACACCCCGTGCAGCAGATGGTGGCGCCTCCGCGTGGGCCGACTTTGCGCACGAGCGCGCGATGGATAACATGGCACGCGAGTTTGGCGCCTTGCTTTGATTGTACCTTGTGCTGCGCTCTCTCTATTTCTTCCCGTCACCGGAAGGTCTCCAACCTGCCGGTCGCGGATGGACCAGGGTGTGGGCAAAATCTGATCAGGCAGCGCCCCGTTACGCTTTCACGCGTGGAGCACCAGCCTTCAGCAGACAGATAGAGCTTTCCAACGAGTGGGATTGTGTACCATAATGAATACCACAAGTGATTGGTAGAGAGCGCGCGGTGCCGCCACCGTCTGCGGTTGTGGTGTATGTGTGGGCTTCGTTCGATAGTGCGCGTCTGAAGGCGAAAATGATCAGCCGTCAGGTCTCACTGCATACACATCCTCCTTTGCAAGCGAGGTGCGCGGTGCGGCGCTCTCGCCGATCTGTCGAGCGGAGCTTTCAAGTATGTTTGGAATATGCGAGCGCTATCCCTTACCTGGCTGCCAGCAAATGCATGTCTGAGCAATGAACCTAGATGTGCATTCGTGTAGAATAAAGAAAGCATTTACATGATTGAAAACAAAAGAGGCGAGATGCCAGGGCCTGAAGACGCTCGAAAAGAGGCACTTTGGATCAAGATGCAGCGATGAGCTTCTTCAGCTCTCCGGACTGGTTGATCTGCTGGAGAGCATCGTTGCCGCCGATGTGCTTGCCGTTGATGAAAATGTTGGGCACGGTGCGCTGCTGCGTCTTTTCGGCGAGGTAGGCTTGGATCTCGGCGCCGTGTGAGCCCTCGTTGTCCAGCTCGATGATCCCGATCTTGGAGGCGGGGAGCGAGAGCGAGCTGAGGGTGCTGTAGCAGAAGAAAACAAGCAGGGATAGGCGGTAGATTTGCAGTCAGGTGATCTCTCCAAGAATTGTACAGATGACGTGATGCGTTCAAATGCCTGTGCCTCGTGCTCTTGTTCGAGCTGCCAACTCAAGGAATGTTGGCGGCGCTGTTCGCAAGGCATGCAGGTACGCAAGTATGCCTTTAGAGTACTCACGCCTTGGCCCGCGTGCAATAATGGCAGTGGCTCTTGCTAAAGACGGCGACGATGTGCTCGGAGATGAGCTTTTCAGCAGCTTGCTTGGCGGCCATCTTGTCCTCCGGCGACCCAGATGCGTGCGACTTGGAGAGTGAGGAACCCAGTTTGGCTAACACTTTGCGTTCGCCTATTGTCCCCGGATCTTTTCGTCCGAGAGTAGGCGCTGTGTCTTATGCACTTAGGAATGTGGGCTGGCGATCAGAGATGTTTGTACGGGCCGTGTGTAAGAGGCTGCTGGTGGTAGGAAACGAAGATGGTGCTACCACTGCCCCCGTTGTAAACGCTGCCCCCACGTCATCCATTCGCCTCCGTCCAGCTTGCGACAACTCACTCCTTCCAACCATCCACACGCAGTCTATAATCTGAGAAAAGGCGACGGTGTTTGGAAGGAAGACTTTACGTGTTTTCATTTTGTGTAAACACATGCATCTCAGTCCCCACCCGTCAGTCGTTCGTTACAACATCGATCCAGCTAATTAATGCCACATGTGCAAGCGTGGTTTGGTTGGTCTTGGTTGCTTATAAGGAAGCATGCTTCTCCTGGAGACAAGTGGAGCACAGACTGAAAACACGCTCGGCGGTTTCCTTTCGTCCATGATGTTCGGATACCAAACATAACACAGGAGAAACGAGCGCGAAGCCAAGTCTCTGCCCTCTCTATTCATATTTGAGTACACAGTCACTACGCACACGACCCTGCGACCGACGGCACACCCACCATGTCCACTGTAGGCAAGCTTTCTCGTGAAGAGTTCCGGCGCCAAAAAGACCTCGATGCCGCCCGCAAGGCTGGCACAGCGCCGGCTGAGGTGGACGAGGAGGGCAATGCCATCAATCCGCACATCCCTCAGTTCATGGCACAGGCGCCATGGTACCTCGATTCCGGTCGTCCATCCCTCAAGCATCAGCGCAAGCCTGAGACAGGAGAAAAGACGCGTGTCGAGCTCGACGAGTGGTACGCCAGGGGCGAAAAAGCCGGGCCCGCCGCAACAAAGTACCGCAAGGGCGCGTGCGAGAACTGCGGTGCCATGTCGCACAAGACCAAAGACTGCCTAGAGCGGCCGAGGAAGAAGGGTGCCAAGTGGACGGGCAAAGACATTGCTGCCGATGAGGTGGTGCGCGATGTGAAGGGCTTGGACAAGGACTGGGATGCCAAAAGGGATCGATGGAACGGGTACGATCCGTCTAACCACAAGCGCGTCATCGAGAGCTACAATGCGATCGAGGAAGCGCGGCGTAAGCTGCGAGAGGAGGAGATTGACAAGCAGGGATCGTCAACGATGACGATGAAAGACTCTGCAGATCCTTCAGCAAACGCTGCTGCAGAGGCCAGCGCGCTGCACGCTGCGAAAAAGCTGGCCAGGAAAAGCAAAGCCAAGGACAAGGACAAACCCTCAGATGACGACGACTTTGGTACAGACTCTTCGGACGAGCAGGACGAGGACAAGTACGCCGAGAAGGCCAACATGGTTGGACAGAAGGTCGACACTGTCAAGCGTATTTCTGTGCGCAATCTGCGTATTCGAGAGGACCGCGCCAAGTACCTCTACAACCTTAACCCGGAATCCTCGTACTACGACCCAAAGACGCGCTCTATGCGTGAGGCTCCGGATCCCAACTTGCGGCCGGAAGACGCACACTACGCAGGTGATAACTTCCACCGAGCCTCCGGTGACAGCGTGGCTATGCAGAAGCTGCAGCTATTCGCGTGGCAAGCCGAGTCGCACGGGAACGACCTGCACCTGCAAGCCAACCCAACGGTAAATGAGCTGCAGTTCAAGCAGTTCCAAGAGCGTAAGGAAGACCTCATTGAACGTAATCGCAGCTCCATCCTTGAGCGCTACGGCGGTGCGGAGCACTTTGATAGCGTGCCCAAGGAGCTGCGCGACGGGCAGACAGAGAATTATGTCGAGTATAGTCGGACAGGCCAGGTCGTCAAAGGGCAACAGAAGGCCAAGCCGAAGAGCAAGTATGAGGAGGACGTCTTTGACCAGAATCACACTGCCGTCTGGGGCAGCTGGTACGACCTTGTCAGTGGCCAGTGGGGCTACGGATGCTGTCGCAGCACGATGAAAGGCAGCTACTGCACAGGCAAGGCGGGTATTGAGGCCACAAGGGCCAGCCAAGTATTGGTATCCAAGCCCGTCGCTTCCAGTTCTGCGCCAGTGAAGGTAAAGGCAGGGAGATCAGGCCGGGATTTCAGGAAAGAGAAATCAAATGGCAAGAGGAGAAAGCGAAGCCACGGTCGCAGCCGCAGCGCAAGCTTTTCGTCTTCGTCAAGTTACTCTTCCAGCGGCAGCAGCAGCGAATCAGAACGCGATGATCACCGAGATAGCAGTCGGCGTAGCAAGCGCCGACGTTCTACCTCTCACCATAGCAGACAGCGGCGGCGCAGCGATAGCTTCTCTTCCTCTTCGACCGGCAGCTATTCCTCGGCCAGCGAATCAGACGCAAGCGATCGCCATAAGCGCAGCAGTGGCAAGAAGCGCAAGACGGCAGAAAGCTTTGTCTCGCGCAAGCATCTCGGCGAGGGTGATGTGTCCGCCAAAATGGACAAAGACAAGCTCAAAGAGGCGCTCAAAGTGGAGGAGCGGCGTCAGGCCGAGCTGCGGCGAGGCGCCGAAGCCAGCGCCACCAAGCCGGACTGGCTCAAGGAGGCAGAAGACATCAACAATCGCAAAGGTAGCAAAAAGGGGTTCAACAGTCTCAACGCGGACGATGAAAACGTGACAGAGGAACAGCTTGAGGCTTTCAGAATGAAAAGGCAGATCTTCGACGATCCGATGGCCAACTTTAAAGATAACGATGATGGAGTGTAGCTTGCACGGCGAACCTCGTATGCAATTTGCTTGGGTCGCCAGAAAAGCCATATTGATGTGGCTGACAGATAGAGTAATTACAGCATACGCTCATAAAAAAGCATGTACGCCTTGCTCTTGGCCACCTCCTCCCAGCTTGCTCCACGAATTGTGTCGTCAGAGCAGAAGACCCAGCCGCGTCTGAGATCCCGCTCCTTGTCTTGTGGTACCAAGTGCTGGACTAACTCGTCGCCATTTTGATCTCGCGCAGCCGGCGACTTGAACCGTACACGGTCGGATAAGACGTAGGCGGTGTAATGACCGCTTGACATCGACCCTTGGCTGTAAGAAGTGATGATGAGCTGTTGTCAATCACTCATGCTGATGCTACGAGCTAAGAGTGAACTCACTGAACCACTACAGCGTAGAGCCGATACTGAGATGATGCAGGCGGCAGCTTGGGATGCTGATTATCTTCGGCGTCAGCCGCAATGTCTCCACCAGGGGCGTCAGATGATTCCGAACCTGGCGGTCTACTTGACGGCGATCTCGATCGCCACATCCACCGATCCATCTTTGAGCCGCTCGCCTTTCGCTCGGCTCTGCCTCTGTCTGCTTCCAGGTCCTGCTGAAGCCTCAAAGCCTCGGCTTCGAGTGCGATTGGATCAGAACTAGGCTTGAGACAACCATATCTATCGTATTCTTCCTTTGGCGGCGCAAGCCACGGACCGAGGTCTAGGAATTCCGGAAACGTGACCATATCGTCTATTTTCTTGAAACTCTGGGTCCCTTTGAGCGGGTTCAGCGACTGGAAGCGCTTGAATTGAATCACGAGAACTGGCGGCGCATGGGCAATCAGGTACCGCTTGAGAGCGCTCCGCAAGACAGTTTGCTTCTCCTTTCGACGCTCGCGCTCAGCTTTGCTCTCAACAGGTCTCTCAGGCTCCGTCGCTGACACCGAAGCAATAGCCTCAGAACCAGCTTCCAGAATGTCTCCAGCCTCACGAGGAACTTCAGAGAGAGGTGGCGCAGAAATCGGCAAAGACTTGGGTTGCAGTGTAGGGGGTTCCGCTAGACTTTCGATGCGCTCTAAAGGCGGGTGCGGCTTGTACGGTTGTAGTTCGTTCACAACTGACCCGGCGGACGAGCTTGCCTTCATGACCTCGCTGCCGGAAACAAAAACGAGATCGGAGACAGGTTTTTTGGGGTCAGACTCATCGTCGGAAAGATCATCCTCCCGACCCGAAGTGCTGGACCGCGTCTGGAAATGAGGCCGTGCAGTGTCGAGTCGGCCCGTCCGCCTGTCATGCTCGATGCGCCAGCAACGCTTGCACTTGAAAGCATTCTCCTCCTCCAGAAGCTCAGTGGATGTGAACTGGTTCAGGGCTGCCACGAGGCCAGTACCTTGTTGAGCGAGCTGCACCGCGCTCTGCGACGCCGCCGGAGTCGAGTCATAGCTGGACAAGGCCTTCTCGAATAGATGTTGAGGAGTGTTACCCGCAAGGCTTTTCTGCGCAGCAGCCGCTGCCGCTGTAATGACATCGCTGACGGTCAAAGGCGTATGCCTGCTGTAATGCCGCGCCCAGCCAGACAGCGATGCGCGTGCTGACAGAAGGTGTCCCGCTTGCGGTACGACGGCAGGGGCGCTGCTGAGGATGCGTGAGATGTAAATCAAGTGCGGCGCAACGAGTTCTCGTTCCACTTGCGTCTTGCTTTTCTTGTCCGCCTCCTTGAATACGATATGATCAGGTGTGTTGCGAGCACTGGACGGGGGGCGACTGGTAGAGAGAGCCGTAGCTGGGGCAAGTGTCTGGGGGGCAGGGCTACCATCGCGGCTTGGCGCGACCAGCTGAGCTGCATTAGTACGATTAGCAGCACTTTCCAACACGCTGATGATGTTCCCTCCGTCTTCCGACACAGGCGACTTTGCGCCGCTACGAGAACGGAAGAGGCGGTTGCTCAGGCCGCTAGGAACCCGTTTGACCATCGGCATGAAGGGCTTGGAATTTTCGGTTTCCGACTCGCTGTGATCCTCTTCGCACTTTGGCTCTATGCTGTAGTTAGAGAAGTCGAGTCCGCCGGCGCGTACAGGAACTGGTGCCAGTGAGAGGGTCGCCATTTCGGTCTCAGTACCGCTGTCCATCCCGCTGGCCGCCTTGTGCTCTTTCTTTTTCTTGCGCTGACTTGGCTTGCGCAAGCCAAAAAACCGATCTCGCACGACAGGCGCGCCTTCACATTCTCCACCTCCTCCGCCTGCTGCTGGCAGCGCCTTCAAGCTGGACAAGGTAGACGCTTCGGCGCTCATCCTTCGTCGGCGCTGCCCATCTAGCGCGCCGCCGCCATTTCCGAGCCCCCACGCTGCCCAGCCTTTCGGTTTCGCAGGCGGCTCGGCAGGGCTGGAAGAGCGCCAATCCGCATCTGCCTGGTGCCCATCTGATTCCGCAGAGCCGTTGTGGACCGCTGCAGCAGCAGAAGCGACTGCATCATGCTTTTGAGCGTCGCGCTTGGGCAGACCGACTGACTTGCGCGTTCGGGCGTCGTACGCGCTGACGGGCCGGGGCGGCAGGTTAAGGCTCGCACTCGGTGATGCCTGGTGGGGCGAGACGGGCCCGGAGGGCAGAGCGGCAGAGCCTGCGCCTGCACGAATGGCAGCAGCTGTACTCGCCGTGAAAGATGTCCCAGCCGCTGCTGCTGCCGCATTCGTGGGCGTTGACGATCGGCGAGCCCAGCGCTCTGCTAGCCGAAAGAATCGATCGCGTTTCCTTTGACGGGGTTCCAAGTCAGGACGAATCGACAGGGACAGGTCATAAAAGTCTTCGTAGGTGTGCGAGACCTGCCATCCAAAGGGTGTAGGGTGTGAGGGTTCACAATCTTAACAGGAGCATTCAGTTTCACTCGGACTCACATAGCCACAACCTTGGCAAATAATCATACTGGCTAGCTTTCCCGCGAAGACCACGTCTACCAGAGGGCGCAGCGGGCGTTCCAGCGCTACGTGCGCTTCATCTCCTCGTATACTCTTGATGCTTCCATCGCTCGATGGCGTCCCTTCCTTATTGCCTTCATCTGTCAGCGGCGTAGGACGAAGTTTTTTGATGACGTCGATCTCTTCCATCCGGCAGCTGTCCAGCAATAATCGAAGCACCTCGTGGCAGTCCTGCTGCTCGTAGTCGTTGTATTGCTCATAGGCCTTGCCTAGCGATTTTAGGAGCTCTTTCGGGTTCAGTGTTGTGGGCGGCGCAGCGCCAGAGCCGTTGGATGAATTGCTCGAGGGCGTGACTTTCCTAAGGAAAGAGGTGGATGAGGACGGATTGGTGTTGCTGTCAAGAGTGGTGGCCGCAGGCGTCTTGAAGTTCCATGTCTTGACGAGAAGGTGCAAAAGTGCCATTGTCATGGGCATGTCCGCGGCCGTCAGCTCAACGGATTTCTGCTCGTGACTTTGTTCATCGGTCTTTCCGTTTGTTGCAATGGGCCAGGATGGTGACTTGCCCCTTCCATACTCGTCGTCACAGACCATCAGCGCGGGGCTCTGCTCCCGCAATGCGTCCCAATGCATCTGCATGCGCCTGAGCACTTGGATCTTGTGCTTCTCTTCCGGTGTCGATGTGGATGCATATGCAGATGACTCTGGCCAGCCATCGCTCCCATCGGACGCGTCCGCAGCTAGAAGTTCGCCAACGGCGGGGCCGAGAAATTCTCCCGTGACGAGGTCTCGGAGAGCTCGCGTCGCACTGGTCGCTTGTAGGATTGAGTTGAGGAAGCACGTGTTCCCGAGATTGACCAGACCAGGATGGGAGGACGAGGCTTCGTACTCGTTGTATGGTTCGGATGAACGGGGAGGCAGGGAAGATGTGACGAGAGGGGAGATGGGCCCACCATGTTCAATGATTGGCAGCATTGGAGGAGGGAGCTGCTGTACCTCGGCGGAGATGAGGCCGTTTTGTAGATTGCTTCGATCGTCAGCTGGAGATGCAGTACCATCTAGCGGCTTGGATGGCGGAGACACTGACACGGAAATCTCCGGCATGGCAGAAGCAGTCATCGGCTGACCTAGTTCAGAACAAGGGCTTGAAGCAGAAACAGCATTTCCTAAGGTCTGCACATCCAGAACCACCGCTGCGAGTGCGGACAATGAAGTCGCTGTGGTGCTGGCGGTGGTGCCGTTGCTGGCATCTGTCTGCCCGGGGTGGAGGGATGATAACACCAAGCTGCCTTTTATCTCTTCCGACGCAATCTTGGAGGCACTGTGACCGTCTCTGATGCTGTCTGCTACCAGCGTGGCGGTTGTGCTGGACGTGCAGACCTCGGGCAAGATCATCATTGGCCTGCGAGCCTGATGAATGGCCTTGGGCTTGGTCGTCGTAGATCCATGTACAGTTACAGTTGCAGGCGCAGATGTCGTTTCTTTGGTGGCATCGGACAGCGCCGGCACTGATAAGAGCTTGTTATTGCTCAATTGAAGACGGGGGTCATGAGAGGTGTTTGCGGACGACGCCCAGGGATCTGAGGTGGACGAGGATGTCGGCCATGATGCAGGCTGCAACCCCGCTGGACTGAAGGAGGAGAATGCGGTGGACCCTGATGCGGAAGAAGAGCCGGAAAACGTACCCTCCACGCTGCCATCGTTCGTTGCTGCCCCGCCTTGCTGTTGCTGCTGCTTGAGTTTATCCAGCCGGGCAAACGTTTTGGCTCGCAGCGTGATCGTCCCCGGCTCGCCCCCGACCATTCTCGCACGTTGGCTTGGCTCGGCTGTGCTTTTTGTCGGCACGCCACTCGCAAGTGAAAGGCCCAGTTCTTCGCAGATATTCGAACGTGGAGGAGTGAGGTTGCGGAGAGGGAGCTTCGAGGTTGGACATCGATGATGATGATGATGATGGCTAAGAGGGCGAGCGTGCGCCTCTCGCCTCAGGGCGTCCACGCGCCGCCGTTGAGAGCACTGCAGCAGTGTGCCCTCTGTGGCTCCCTCTGTGCTGTTCTCCCTGCGGGCACAAGTGCTGTAGCTCGGTAATTGTTCGGCTCCGAGCCGACGACCAAACACTCCGTCAGAAAGCAAATCACTACAGTACCATACATGAGCCTGTCATTGACGTCGGCGACGATGGCGACGATGGCGACGAGTTTCTCCTCCATTACGTTAAACATCGCGTATGGGTCCCACACACTGAACAAGAGCAGACGGCCGGGCATCCTTCTCGCCCATGGAGAACGGTCTATTTACGCCCTCGCGGGCAATCCGCCCCGCATCCATTCAAAATTTGGCAAGTTCAGTGTGAAATACACATTTTCCGGTCGATACTCCACCACCATCCCCTGCCGGCCGCCGCATTCAAATCCTGGCGTCCTGCTCCTTGCTTTAGTTCTTTAGCTGCAACTCCAGAGACCATTCCCCAGAGTTTACGTTCTCCGTCACTCTGCCGTTTCCCTTCATCATCGCATCCAGCACACGCATGCAACAGCTATGCAGTCCGATCGACGACCCAACGGAGGCATGGCACGCGCGCGCTCGGCCTCCTTTGAGCGCGTCAGCGCCGTCGTCCGCGCTCTCGCACGGCCCCAAGAAGATCCAGAGCCGGAGACGCCGCGAGAATTGACCGCTTCGCCGTCGCCGTCGCCGTCGCCGTCACCGTCGTGTTCGCCATCACCCAACTCGCATAGCGGCGAGGGGCCGGCCACAGCTGACGGGCTGGGGATCGCCATCAAACCCGACTCGGGTCATGTTGAGTCGGAGATAAGAAGGCGCTGGCATCCAATCGATCAGCAGTCCCTACGCTCGCCCTCAGCAGCAGCCGATGACGAAGCAGAGTGGCAGCAGGGAAACGGGTTGACGCAGGCGGAGAAGGAAGCGGGTCGAGCCCGGCGGCAGGAACTCAAAGCCGGCAGTGGCACGAAGACCCGGCGAAAGACCAAAGGTGGCAGTGCCGGGCGGCGACGCGGCAGTCGCGACTTGGGCAACATCAAGCGCAAAACTGTCAAGCCCGCAAAGAGCTGGGAGATTCCACGCAAGATCTTTCACTCTAGTATCGGATTTCTCGTCCTCTATCTATACCTATGCCACCACCCGCTCGATAAGATTGTCACGGGCCTCACCCGCTTTCTCGGGGTCGTCGTTACCGCCGACGTTATCCGTCTCAACTGGCCCGCTTTCGAGCGCATCTATGAGAGCGTGCTAGGCTTCTTGATGCGTGAAAGCGAAAAGAAGCAGGTAAACGGCGTAGTATGGTACTTAGTCGGCGTCATCACCAGCCTGCAGATGTTCCCAGCTGATGTCGCGTGTGTCTCGTGAGTTCTCTTCCACCCGTTGCATCCAAGGTTGGCTATATGCTAACCTATCTCGCTTTTTATTTCTATCGTGCTCAGCATCATGATGTGAGTTGTTGTAGCTGACGCGCGCGTCTCAGCTATGTAGCTAATATTGCCCCCCCGTCTGGCTAGCCTGTCGTGGTGCGACACTTCTGCCTCCGTCTTCGGGCGCCTCTTTGGCAGGCACACGTCCGCTTTGCCATCGCCTCCATTTGCAGCGCGCAAGTCACTCGCTGGCTTCCTCGCCGCAGTCATATCCGGCTCGCTCACCGCATTCGCATTCTGGGGAACATCCGTCGCTTTTCGCGGGGAACGCGCCGACGGGCTCAGCTGGGCTCCCGACCGGCCCGCCATCTTTGGCACGGCCAACGCACCAGGCCCGCACGGTACTGGCTGGTCAATCCTTGCACACGGGATTTCGGGTCGCAAGTGGTGGGACGCCGGGTTGGGCACCAGCAAAGGCTCATCATCCACGTCGTTTGCCTTCCCTGGCAATGCGGTCGCCGCTGCAGTCGGCAGGGTTGGCAGCACTGCAGCACCTGCAACGCCACGATGGCTTTCCGCTTCTTCGGTACCTGCTATGCCGCTCTGGTTGCTCTGTGCAGGTAGCGGCCTCGTCGCTGGCGTGGCTGAAGGCCTCGAGCTTGGTGGGATCGACGACAACCTTAGTCTGCCAATTCTGTCAGCCACAGGTATCTGGGGCCTTTTGTGGGCCTGGGGGAGGGTGGTCACGTGTTGGGTTCGTTGAAAATCCAAATAGATGCTACTTCAGATACTATATCCCCGTCTAGCATTTAATGTAAGTCGCAACAAGATTGTATTGTATTATATCGCTAAACAACACTGGACCGAAAGAGGTTGCGAGAGACACGCTGATATATTGCCTAGAATCTCAAGTCTGGATCTGTTCAAAGTCAAAGATGCGCGCATCTCGCTCCCATGTATACATGTGCTGACGAATGGAGCCGCCGATTCAACACCACGAAGTCCTGCTCATATGCCAATTCAAGCTCTAGAAAGCACGAGCATGAACGTGAGCAGCTCATCTACGTGACTTCTCTCCTGCGGCGCAACTGACCCTTGCCCCTCATTGACAAGTTCCAGATCATTTTGCACTCGGCTGTAGCCAGGCTGTTTCGCCTGCCGTCTGCGTCTGACCCACACTCAAATGAACAGAAGCATCACTACCAGAAGCAAGGAAGAAATAGTGAAATTGAAGACTCCTCGCTCTTGCCACATGACGCCGCAATTTGCATGCATCCCAATCATTTTTGCGGGCCTGCACTGCAGGCACGCTGTAGTCTGCTTGTAAGGCTGCCTGCAACACCGCCCACGAACATCATCTCGTCGCCTCGAAGTAAAGGTGATCGAGGGCTGCTCACCCGGTTGTGTGCCCTTTCGCAAGAAGCCGACAGCCTACGGGAGCGGACTCCAAGCCAAACGCGGGTCGAGCACAACAAGTGTTGCAGGAGGGTACCACGAAGCCAGCCAGGGATGCTCACAGCTTCCCCTTTCGTGTCGAAACCACCTCGGGATAAGACTACAACGCTGAGCAGGTTGCACGCCACGAGATTCTCTCAGAGCAATGGACCTTCTCCGAGGTACGGGCGGTCAGAAACTTGTGTGGGCCAAGTCTCCAGAAGGAAATGCGAATTGTTCCCACTTGGGGCAGAAGTCATACCTATATTCAGCTGCGGCGTGAAAGACGTAGCTCTCATTGACCCTGCTCTTGCATTCGCAGCCTGTGTCCATTTGATGTGAACATGCGGCCTGCTCCACAGGAAGTTCATAGATGGAGTAAACGCTGTGACTGAAAGTTTCCAAGCAAATGTATTGCTGTCGCTAACGTCTGGATATAATATGTTTGCTGACGTTTTATCGGGCGAGCAAAGTTCAACTACACGTCAATAGTAAGCAAGAAACCAAGGCTGTAAGCCTTGTTGCAAGGCCCAACTACAAAACTTGGCCGGCTTGGCATCATGTGACTCCTTAGAGCTTGGCACGCCCAACATCTCATCATCACACCGCTGATCGTCCCCTCCTTCCTTTCTCTTGCACAGCAACAATTTAACTAGCCAAAGCACGCGTGCAGCCTATGACCCCAGTGCTTGACCGTGTTTGCAAGGAATGAAGTTGGTCATTTCCTCAAGTCGAGATAGATACACGGCAGCAAGATGAAAGTAGATGAACGAATGCGCAGCCCACTCTCTTGTTTCAGAATCTTACCAATCAAGCATTTGCTGTCATTTCCCTCGTGGCTACGTGCGACGGTGGCTAGCGGGGTACGACGGTGGCTGGCGGGGTGCGACGGTGACCTTCGTAGTTGCTTCCCCTCTTGACTCCATTGTTCGAGTTGAACCAAGCTTGATGGTCGCGGGGTGCTTTGACGAGGGTCATATGGCAATGTTGGCTTGATGCTGGACGCCTTTTGCCTATTGAGACTCATCGAATGAAAACGCCAGGCTCGATGCTCAGCAATTCATTCCTGGGGGTTCCATCGTAGTTCCCTGTGATAGGCGCATGGTCGCTGAGGAAAGTGAGGGTACCCTCGCGCTCAAGATTGAGCTGCATGTCTACGAGGCCTGCGGTGTGGCCAGGGAGATTGTGAATGGTGATTCTTGGGAAGCCCTTAGGTGACGTTGATTCAACAATGAGTTCGTAGCAAGAGAAAATGCAAAGCCTTCAACATATGGTCCGCATGCAGAAAAGAACTTGCCTTGACTGTGGAGTCATCGAAAGTCTTCCAGTTGAGGTCAAGACCTGGCAACACGAATTTGAGTACGAGTGACTCGTCCTTGCATGAACATCTCTGATCATAGTTACGTACTCAAGTAATGCTTCATCCCGATACCCAAGTCGGCACCTGTCGCGCCGCTTTAGAAGGCACTTTCAAGCTCTGCGCGATGCACGGTGATGGCGGTCAAACCAAGCTGACTTTCAATCAATCTGGGAAGTTAGAATGGCACCTACAAAGTGTATGGACTACCTCTAGGACATACGTTCCAATCCAGTTGACCAGGCCGCCGGCATGGTCAAGGTGTAGGTGGCCCATAGTGCTGTGTTTGACGTGCTTAATGACATATCTATCTTTTTTGGTCGCCTGGTCAAGCTCGTGTTCCTTGTCATAGCGTACATGCACAAAACGTCAGAAATGACTGGGCCCCAAAGCCTTTGGTAGAGGCGGCAAATGGTTAAAACCAGCAACTGGTGTGGTCGGCAGCAAGATCATTATCACGGGGGAGCATACTTCAGATCCCAGTAGGTACATACCTCTGGATAGACCTTGCCGCAGCCCGTCCTACAGAAGATGAGGCCGGCCGTGGAATGAGCAATCAAAACGGCGTACACGACCATTCCCTGCGCTCGGGCTTGTTCAGACAAGGTGCGAAGAAAGAGTTCAGCAGGGGAGCCTAGTTCTGCAGCGAGCTGGACAGACCTTTCCATTGGAGTCTTTCGGGTTGCTCATGGGTCAACGCATTGCCGCCACCCAGAAACCAGCTTGCATCAGCTTCCAAAAATGCACTACAAATCTGACATAAAAAGGGATACCAAACTTGGTGCGGAGATGAGGGTGCAACCACGTAGGGAAACTTGCACACAGATATGAAGTGCTTACCACAAATGCCTTGGTTCCCTTGGGAACTCGGTTCAGGGCCTAGAATGAGCACGAAAAGGGGTCGGGTCGGCAGCCTGGCTTGAAAGTACATTTAGTCATTCATGAGCGTATCACATACCAGCGGGAGAGCCAAATGGCGTCCGCCTTTTGCTGGGATAGCTGCAAGGATATGTGTCCCACCGTCTCACCAACATGGCCCTAACAAAACACCACCGGTGTGCATCTGTTTCGTGTCGCACTTGATAGTTTGATGTCATGGTGAGTAGCTCGCTCTTCCTTGCTTTGTGTCTTAGGGAATGTCGACCTGGTTGAACAATCAAGGGAAGCAGCAAGTGCGAGCAATCGATATCATGGAGTTTTATGGAAGGAATGATGAGCGTCGTAACCGAAAGGCGTTTGGCACATGCCACTTGAAAGTATTGGATCCCAAAGAGCCAGCCGACAAACATAAAAATCGATCAATCCCGATTTGCATTGAGAGCTGAAGGTTCGCATGGATTGTACCAAGTCTACCAGGTCTATACAAGGTATGCACCAGGCCCTCGAGCACCTCGTCGCTGGTCCTTGGGTCGCTTTGCCATCCGTGGGACGTGGAGGATGTTGCCAAGTCAGGCTGATACCCCCGTATGTCGCGGCTGGTCCCATTTTGAGGGAAAAGGGTAGGGAGGGAGGAGACGTCTGATTCACCTAAGGTTTAATATTTTGGAAAAGTCCACCCACACACTCCCTTCGATGGTTCTCATATTGTCCTATTGCTCAATGAATCGACCCGCGAACGAGCAACTCCCACTATTATTTAGTCCATCTCCAGACCGGCGAGGGCTCCGAATGACCGTATCCCCTCCGCCAATCACATCCATGGTGTCATCGCAAGGCTCGGTGGCCTCAGCCTATCACAGACGTGGGTGACTCTCCAATCACACTACTTGCCTTCAAATCTGCCAGCGATCAACATCGGTTAAATTCAATTAAACAAGCCTTGCCGCCTGTGTGTTTGCCTTGCGTCGCCACCAATCTCTTTCCGGGTTTGATTTAATTCTTCTTGCCATCACCAACGGCCACAAAGGCTGAACGCGAATAGGCTGGGCATCACAAGGGTATGTGTGAATCAGTGAGACTATGAAAGCAGACAGAACAAAGAGAATCGCATACAACCATACCCGGAGGGTGATGACAGCCGCGAAGTTTCGAAGTGACAGGATGCTGGCTTTCGTGTTACTCAAGGACTTCGTGGGAGGCGCCTTCTAGACTGATGCCGCAAAAAGAGGGTCATGGCAGTGACTTGTGCATGCCTAACGCCGGTAAGAATAGTTTAAGTCCGTCAAGAAGCGGGGCGTCGCGGACAGCTTGTAGCGCGGGCCGCGGCTATTCGTGGTGTGCTGACCCCATTGGATCCGTTCAGAGTAGATCAAAGAAAATAGCCGATGGGGCTGGCGACATCACTATGTTGTTCGCAGGAGGAAGTTGTGCTCGCAAGCTGCAAGCCGGCAAAAGGATGCGTGAACCTCCTCTGAACACTCCCCTACACACGAGTTTGGACTCACATCCGGCTAGACATCCGGAGCCGGCAGGCGGGTGGCGAGACCCGAGACTGTGAGTTGGGGTGGAGAATTGCCTGTCGCCCGTGGCTGTGCGCGGACTGCAACATGGAGCATGGCGCAAAGTTGCGCCGCACTGCGCCGCCCATACGAGTGACATAGCTTCCATGCTAGCAAGCGTTTGTAGTAGAGTAGCACGCAAGCTGCTTTTGTTGCATACCCTGGCACCCTTAAGTGTATATATATATATTTGACCGGCTCCACAGTCCACAGACTGGAGACACCTATGCTCTCGTCAATGCGTTCCAGGTCCAGCTTGCTCTGTGACATCCGATGGAACCATAAGCAGCATCTGGCGCCGCTTTGCCTAATCCTTCATCCCTCCATCTCACCCTTTCGCCATGGCTGTTTCGCAAGGCCAGGCGGCTGAGCACCGGCCGATCCCCCAGCCCCCGGAGCGTTTCTTGACCGGTAACCTCACAGATATCCACTCCACCGAAAGCCTTCCCGACCTGGTTCGGCTCAGCGCGATTTACGGCCCTATTTACCAGCTTCATCTGCTCGACCAGTACATCGTCTTCCTCTCCAGTCATGAGCAAGTCGACCACGTCTGTGATGAGGGCAAGTTCGAGAAGGGTATCAGCCCCCCCTTGCGCGAGGTGCGAGACTTCGCCGGCGACGGCCTTTTCACAGCCTTTGGAGATGAGCCCAACTGGAGTCTCGCTCATCGCATCCTAGTTCCTGCCTTTGGACCGCTGGCCATCCGCAAGATGCAGCCCATGATGATGGACGTCATCAGTCAGATGCTTCTCCACTGGGAGCACCATGCTGGTCAGCCGTTCGAAGCTGCAGAGCAGTACACCAATCTTACCTTTGTGCTTATATCTACAGCATGCGCTAAAGGAATGAAAGCACAGTTCTGACCCTTTGCTTTCCCTTCTATGCTTACGCTGCAACAGGACACAATCGCCTGGTGCGCCTTCAAGTACCGCTTCAACAGCTTCCATTCGGCCACTTCACACCCATTCATCAGCACAATGGTCTCCTTGCTCAAAGGTAAGCATACCTGTTGAAGCCTTCACTCTGAGCGGAGTCCCGCTAAAACGCCTGCCTGACCCGCTCAGAATCTAGCGCGCGTGCCAAACGCCCGGGCATTCTCAAGAAGCTGATGTTTATGAGCGACGCCGAGTATACTCGCAACATCCAAGCCTTGCACAAGCAGTGCGACGAAATCATTGAGGCCAGATGCAAGTACCCAGACCCTGATGCGCATGACTTGCTCAACAACATGATCTTGGACCGTGACCCTTCGACGGGAGAAGCGTTGTCTGACGAGAACATCCGTTATCAAATGGTTACCTTTTTGTGAGTGCAAGCGGCAGTTTCACAAGAGGAGTAGATTATAGTTGACACTCTCTCCGGCTGCGGCGTGTGCTTGTATCTCCTCCAGGATCGCCGGCCATGAGACCACCTCTGGCTTGCTCTCCTTCGCCACTTACTTTATGCTCAAGAACCCGGCCATCTTCCGCAAAGCACGCGAGGAGGCGGACAAAGTGATTGGCGAATCGGGTGGCGACATGATGAAGATGAACGCAAACAAGCTCAAATATATTGACGCCATTCTCAAGGAGACCCTCCGCCTGTGCCC